TGGCCCCGTTGAGGTGGCCCCGTTGAGGAGACTGCACTGAGGTGGTCCCGTTGAGGTGGCCATGCTGAGGTGGCCCCGTTGAGGTGGCCCCGTTGAGGGGACTGCACTGAGGTGGTCCCGTTGCGGTGGCCTCGTTGAGGTGGCCATGCTGAGGTGGCCCCGTTGAGGAGACTGTACTGAGGTGGCCCCGTTGAGGTGGCCCCGTTGAGGTGGCCCTGTTGAGGTGGCCATGCTGAGGTGGCCATGCTGAGGTGGCCCTGTTGAGGAGGCCCCGTTGAGAAGGCTGCGCCGAGGTGGCCCCGTTGAGGTGGCCCCATTGAGGAGACTGCACTGAGGTGGTCCCGTTGAGGTGGCCATACTGAGATGGCTCTGTTGAGGAGGTCATGCTGAGATGGCCCCTTTGAGGTGGCCCTGTTGAGGAGACCGCACTGAGGTGGTCCCRTTGAGGTGGTCGTGCTRAGGTGGCCCTGTTGAGGAGGCCCCTTTGAGGAGGCCATGCTGCGGTGGCCCCGTTGAGGAGGCTGCCCTGAAGTGGCCCCGTTGAGGTGGCCGTATTGAGATGGCCCTGTTGAGGAGGTCATGCTGAGATGACCYCTTTGAGGTGGCCTTGCTGACATGRCCTTGTTCAGGTGGCCCTGTTGAGGAGACTGCACTGAGGTGGTCCTGTTGAGGTGGCCATGCTTAGGTGGCCATGTTGAGGTAGCCCCATTGAGGAGACCGTGCCAAGGAAGGCCTGTTGAGGTGTCCCCGTTGAGGAGGCCATGCTGAGGTGGCCATGCTGAGATGGCCTTGTTGAGGTGACCCTGTGGAAGAGACTGTGATGAGGTGGTCGCCCTGAGGTGGCTGCACTGAGGGGGCCCCGTTGAGSTGGCCCCATTGAGGAGGCCATGCTGAGACAGCTCTGTTGAGGTGACTGTGCTGAGGTAGCACCTTTGAGGTGGCCCTGTTGAGGTGGTTGCACTGAGACAACCCTGCTGAGGTGGCCCTGTTGAGGAGGCTGTGCTGAGACGGCCCCGTTGAGGTGAGGTGGTCCCATTGAGGTGGCCACACTGAGGTGGCCGYGGGTGATTCCCAGAGAAACCTCAACACCCGTGAGGGCCTGTGGGACTTGACATCTAGAGCCTTCTGTGGAGAAGCAAACATCATCCCATCTCATCTCACTTTGCCTGGAAAAGTTCCACAATATGGTAAATCCSATTGCTCTCCCTTTCTCCATGAGGATACAGAGGAATTCCAAAGTAAAGCTCCCAACTCAAATAAGAAATTGTGAAAAAAATGTGACTGTATAAAGGTCAACATATTTCATTAAGCTGCTCTGCAGTACCTGTTGTTCCTCATAGAGTGCTGCACTACTTTTTTTGTTTTTTCCTAATTCTGAGTAGTTTCTAGATCTTTAATCTTATCCTGGATATTCCTGAAAAGAAACAAAAGTTCATATTTTAAAATGAATACTTGTTATCAAAGATTCTATAACTGAACTATTAGTATAGCTGAGAAACATTTTTATTCTAGGTTTTCTTGTGTTTCTGGCTTTCAGTAAAATACTTATTTCATAGCCACTCATAAAAAAGTATACTGAATCTTTGGTTATTTTTTTCCCCGTTTTCCAAGAAAAAAAGAAGGGCCTGTTATGTGTCCATTCCCTCACCAATGCTTTGCTAATTTCAACAACACTTAACAAAGAGCTAGAGATCTCAAAAATACTGAATTCCTGATGGTTTCATGAACACCARCCATGGTGCTGTGGATAGAAAACCAAACTACCACCTTAGCTTCACAACCTTAACCCACRCAGTCGCCACACACGTGACCACCACACACGTGACCTACCAGCAGTTAAGAAAMGTAGGTGGAGCCAACAAGGAGACAGAAGAATGGGACAGCAATGTGCAGGATCGCAGGATTTGCTAGTTCTGCTGCTAACTCACTTAGGCTACCAAAGAAAGCATTATTTTGCGATGCATCAAATACCAGTTTTGTTCCTCTGAAGAATAATTCAAAACAGCATTGCATGTATTATGAACACGAAGTAAATTTAGTCAAAGCATAATTGAAGCAATGGATACCTCATTTTTGGTATGATTTTTTTACTTAAAAAAAGTCTCTAGARTGTAAACTTTATTTCTTCTAGGCTTAGGAAATATGGTTTTAAGAACAAAGTCACCACTGTTCGTAAGTTCTTATCAGTAATCTCACTCTGATCTTCTGAGATGTGTTTTTATAACTGCAGTCCTCCTCAGAACTACTAGGCTTTCAGAGACAAAAAAAAAAAGTTGGGACTTTTTGACCCTTTGTTGGGACAAAATCCCAACAAACTGATTCATTAGAAATAAGGCCTTGGCTAAGCAGTTGCTACAAGGGTTTGAAATCCCATCACTGTTGTGGAAATAGCAATTACCAGGCCTTTAAGTTCTATTGGTGACCAAGAGGGTAGTGAAATCTGAACCATCTTATCATCATCAATATAGCAGTAGCAACAACATGACTGCATTAGTTATTTCATTAGAGTATCACAGMACCACAGGAGGGTTGACGTTGGAAGGGACCGCTAGAGATCAACCAGTTCAACCTCCTGCTCCAGCAGRGACACCCAGAGCACGGGGCACAGGGTGGCAGCCAGGCGGCTTTGGAAGATCTCCAGAGAAGGAGACTCCACAGCCTCCCTGGGCAGCCTGCTCCAGGGCTCTGGCACCCTCACAGTCAGGAAGTTCTTCCTCACATGGAGATGGAACTTCCTGTGTTTTATGGTAGACATGTTCCCCACYGTTTCTGATGACCTAAAGCAATAGAGTCTCAATTGCTAATGAAAGAGCAGATCAGAAGAAGTTGTGAAAAAGAGGTTTGCAGG